TTTTTTTTTTTTAAGAAAATGGAGAAAATTACAATTTACAAGTGCTGAAATAAGCATTTGGATGAGAATAAGCTGTTGATTCTGTTTAATTAATGAAGTCATCTTTAGCTCTTTGGGGCGAAATTTCAAATAAGTTTACCTCCACATGATGTGTTGAGCAGCACCATAAGCACCCCACCAAAGTGCGGATGCGGGAGATTGGCTCACAGCTGTCAGTCCAAAACCTCTAAACATGCCACGAATTCCTTCGGCCTTTATCACATTTCGTGCAACATCTAATGGACCACTGCAAGATGTCGTCCCAGGAAGTCCCTGAACCATTAGCCTCTGGCATACCTGCAAATGAAGTCAATTATAGAGATTAGATCATGCGAATTACAGAGAATATGCTTTGTTACAACTTACAAGTAAAATAAGTTATAAAAATAGAACAAGAAAAGAACTTGGTATTACACAAACTAGGAGAGCAGTCAGTGCATGTGATTGGATATACAATCGTTTTAATCGTGTACTTTCCACTGGCGATGGAAATTTTTCTTTCTACAACAGAATTGATGAGAAATTCTGGGAAGATATTGATAATTTAGTGGATCTCTGAATCGAAATAAGATAAAAATCTCACGATTAAAATTGATATATAATGATAAAAGAATGATGATTAAACATAACTGGTATATACCATTTAAAATATCTGGGTGGACGAATGGTGAATCTTATGGGAAATTGTGTAGTGAAAATTCTTTTTCTGAGGAAAGTGCCAACAGAGAACGAGTAAGTGCCATGTTTTAAAAATTTTGTATCCAATCACAATTTAGAGCGAAACTATTCACAATTGTGCATTTATCCAATCACAGCCAGCCTGCGAAAAAATTTTCTATTAATGAAGTAACTACAGTTCAAAAGAAACACTATCATCTCCATATGATAGCCCTTCAGCTTATGTTTTAATAACTTGAAGAAAATAATGTGGAAGAGTGAAAATCATCACAATGTAAAATGACAGGAATACCCACCACGTCCAAAGGAACAAAGTATACACAGGAAACTAAATTGGAAACCATCCCGGCAACTCCATTAGCAAAGCCAATTCGTGTTGCTTCAGGCATATTCAGACCTTGTGTGTATTTGAGCGTCAAATCCTTTGACACCTCAAGTGAAGTCAAAGCCAGAACTCGACCGGGCAATGATCCAATAGCCGATGTGCCAAAGCCTCTAAAAATACCGGGAAAACCATCGTTTCGGATAATGTATCTGAAAACAGATAACCCACTCATTTGGGAGATTCCCGATCCGGCTACTTGCATTCTTGTTTTCACAACTGCTGTAGGGTGTATTAATGCTGACTGGACAGTGAAGAGAATAGCTCCAATGACGTGAAACCTCGTCTTATCCAACCTGCACTTGTGATAGCACACAAAATCAACAGGAAAACTACGATCTTCATGAATAAGGTGTGTAATTCTCCCTGTGCAATCATAAGCAAGGGCTAAATCTAATTTCACATCTCTGGATTACATAAGCAGTCAATTCATCACATGTTTTTTCAGCCGACCCTTAAACTTCTGGAAAAACATACGGTCCTCTTAACAAAGAATGCTAACATTTAATGAGCAACTTCAGATTCAATCCACAGATGCAACTTCCTATCTCTAACAACAGGAGTTGGCTGTCGTTACTAGCGGTTCCTTGGTGATAGTTTCCAAATTCAACTAAAACGATCATTAGCTTAACCAATCATAACCATGTAAAGATTAGATCTTTTCAAAAATCTGCAATGGATCACAACCACCATCACTAGGGAACAGCTTGAGAGAACCAAAACAACCTGAATTTTTACAAGCTAAAATGCTGCTTCTTTTTAACAAGCCCATGTCAAAAAAGAAGAACTTTCATAGAAGTTATTACTATTTCCATCACAGTTCAACTTCAATAATTACCATTGCACATACAGATACTCTCACAAAACAGAGACTTCGGTACACAAACGAGCACTCGCCAGAACACAATCACTTCGAACACATCAAACCAGATAACTGTACAGCCCTTTTTCACAAACACAGCAATCACCAGACGCAGTAAAACAACACCAAATTTAACTACGAACAAATCAAAAAAAATGAAAGAAATTGAAGGTCACGCAAGCGAAATTGCAATGGATGACCTGTCCCAGTTGATGTCAGTATCCTCAAGAGCCAATCGTGGGGTGGCGGCGTCTGCAGTCTCTACAGCCATGTCTATCGTGTCGAACAAAAATTCAATTGCTGAGTTCAACCTTTCACTTACTCTCACAATGAAACAGTGATTTCCAAGCGCTGTGCTGTGCAAAGGTAAATGTTGCTGCAAAATGACTATGTATTGGGCTGGGAAAAAAGAAGGAAGAAGAAGAACAACTTGTTAAGAATGTAGAAGTTTCGAGCGGTGCAACATCTTCATGGGGTTTTGCAATGTTGCGATTATTATTTTATTTCAAAAAATGGGAAAAATCATTGTTTGGGGGCCACTTGAAAACGGGAAGTTGGAGGCCTTAAACCCATGGTTTTAGGTTTTATTCATATACTTTGCACTAGAGTCGATGTTAAAATGTTCATGTCAGAGGAAAGCTAATTCCGCTGCTGACTACATGGCGAGCACGACCTCGTCCGTTCCACTTGGATTACATCGTCTGGAGTTTCCTTCCAATGGCTTAGGAGCTTGGCTGAACCATGATATTATCGGGTGTGTCACTCGTGCCGTGTTCTGGCTTCTTCTTCTAACTAGGCGCTTTGGCGCTTAGCCCCCTTATTGAACCGAAAGTTCATGTCATATAACACTAATTAATTAGATTGTGATCTTTTATAACATTGCTATTGATATTATATTTATTTATATCTATGTAATGAATCAATATTTATTGCCACAATTGACTTAATTTTGGGCAAGAATTTTTTTTCGTCTATATTTGACATTTAATTAATATTTATTTATTAACAAATCTTATGTATGAAAAATATAATTAATTTTAATGACTATTTCTCATTAACTACAAATTGGTTTAAACTGTAATTTTGGCCGTAGATTAGATATGTTTTCAGTAAGATCTTATACCAATGTAATAGTAATTTATTGATACAAATTCAAAAAAACTATTCGCTTCGCTTTGTTTGTACCCTTCCCTTCTGTCCTGTTGTTGTTTCGAGCGGTTGGAGAGTTAGGTCTTTGGGGAGGCACTTACGGGATCGCTTGCCTTGTTTTCGGTTTCCTGAAAACCAATCTATAGAAACAAGAACTCCTAACAAGTCGAGTGGCTCCGCTCCTGCTCCTTTATGGAAATTGATTTGATCAAATATATTATCATATATGGTTGCAATTATTAACTTAATTAATTATATTCACTATTCGACAGTACTTCTAAATTTAATAAAGTAATCAGAATAACTGTGCTTAAATCATAATGTCTTAACAAAAAATTTAAAATATTAATAAATTTTCTAAAATATAGTCAATTTAACTATCAAAAGGTATATTCACATTGAATATATCATATGCAGTGATAATACTATTTAAATATTAAATAATATACTAATAATAAAAAAATAAAAATAAAAATTGATGGTCGGGTGCAATTCAAAATTATAAATTTCACTTTAGAAGTATCAATGTACGTTAAAAAACTATTCAGTTTACAAAAAAATATATATATATTTCTTATATACTATTTTATAAATGAAAAATCTATTAACTTATAAAGAGACAATGATATTTGTTGGGTTCTGTGAGGAACGTCAAACAACATGCACAGTATTGAACTTATCGAAATAAATCCTAACGCAGCAGAATCTATAGTTAGGATATGGACGTTTACCTTTTAAATTTTTTTGCCGATCTGAGACGATGTATAGAACTGTTGATGTAGTTCGTCTGAACACCACAATCTAATGGGCAGATAGATTTGGCCTTTATTCGATTCTAATCGAAAATTCCAACGAAGCTTTGATCACACGGCAGTCGGGTCTCGGATCAGTGCAGCGGCAAATCGTGCGCGTCGGGCGCGGACAGCGTGCGGATACGCAGGCAGCAGCAGACAGGTCCTGGTGAGCAGGGCGTGCATGTCGCCGACGTACGTTGTCGGGACTCCTATGCCTACGTAGACTGGGCGCTGGCGACTA